CATGGGAAATTTGTCCTGCCCAGTCACCATCACCATTCCCTGTCTGTCCCAAGACCCTTTTTTGGGTCAGGGAAGCACAAGGGTGACCTGCTCTGTGCGTGTTGGGTATTTGGGGAGCACATCACAGCAATGTGGATTGTACAGGAGGCTCCAGCCCCACAGCTGCTAAGGGATGGGTCTGGCACTGGCCAAAGGAAACCTAAAACCAGCAGCATAAACTGTTTTCCCTAAGTTTCCTTCCTCAGAGCCCTATGGGACAGAGGCAGTGCCAGCAGATCTCTAGAAATGCTGGCCTAGAAGGGAAAGTAGCTCTCTAAGAAGGGCTGGCAGGACTCTGAGCAGTGGGGAGGGGATCTGTCCCCAAGGATCCACCCCCAGAGCCACTGGAGACAACAGCTGAACCCCAATGGCTGCAGGTAGCAAAGCATCATCATTTCCCACTGCCAAAATAGTCAGATCTCTCCCACACCATCTGTTCTTCCCTCCCCCTTCCTTCTCAAAATGATTTTTCCCTCTGAATTCTTTGGGTTGACACATCCCCAAGGAACAGCATGGTTTCCCTGTTTTCAAAGATTCCCTCACCATCAGCTTGCCAAGGAAGGAACCACAAAGAGGGATCCCAAAATTCTGCCCATTAGCCCCATGACCCTGCAAAAGGCACCCAAGAACATCAAGGCACTGAATGTACATAAGGAGGAAAATAAGAAGCGGAGAAAGGCATCAGATCCTGGAGCAGAGGATGGAGATGATGGGGCCAGGCAGGATTTCTGGGGCCCAGCTCCACAAATATTTCACAGCCCATTTACCTGTGCCTTGTACAGAACAGAAGGATCTCCCAAAACTGCCCTCACGCAGTGGCTGGAAAGATCCACCACAGCTGAAAACTAAACCGACTGCAGTGTGTCTGTTTTGGCCCAGAAGCTGCCTGGGGACTCTGCTGCCAGTGGGATTTTGTGCTCCAGAACCCACAGTTCCCCCTGGAAAGCCAAATGCCAGCCAGCCCTGTGCCTTACCGTCACCACGACGTACAGGCACCAGATGACAGAGGTGAGGTGGAAGGCAACCAGCTGCCCTGACTCATTGAACTTGCTGTGTTTGACCTTGGAGAGATGCAGACGCCTGTTGATTTTCTGGGAAGGAGCAGAGGGAGAGACAACAAGAAAACATGAGCCACCATCAGTTCTCTCTGTTCCCCATCCCGAGCAGCCTCCAGAGATGAAGGCTCACTCATCACCACCTCAGCCCCCACACCACCCACAGAAGAGCATTTAACTGCAGCAGGAGCACAGCCCCCCCGTGGGACTGGAGGGATTTTGAGGACACAAAACAGGGAATGGTGCTCACGTCCAGGGCGTACTCCTGCACCACTGCGTGCAGGATGATGGCGATGAAGATGTAGAAGAGGATGGTGACCAGATCCTTCAGCCCATAGTGATACTGGACCAGCTCCCCATCTGCAAAGAGACCAAAGCATGGGTCAGACCCCCGGGGCCCAAAGGATTGCCAGGGAAGGGCTGAGTGGGGAGCAGCTTGGATGGGGACACCAGAGAGAGATCATGACAATGCCAGTGGTAGGGAAAAGGGCTCACTCCAGGGTTAGCTCATGGCAGAGGTGTGTGGTTTCCCCTCTAACAGGCACACCTCAAAGGAGGGGACACTAAAAGCTTCCCCCTGCCACTGGGGACAGCTCAGCTGTGGAATTTATCACCTGGAGGGATGAAGACAGGGGAGGCTGAAGCTGGTGATGGGATCAGGGATCCTCCACTAGGAACATCAGGGCTTGAGATAGGATTTCCACCCTCTCAGTTATGATTTAACACTTCCTTATGATGTGCCACTCCTCCCTGAAAACTGCTGGAGTGGGATTCAGCTGCCTAAATGCAGATGCCTTCTGCTAATCAGAGATCTGAGGTAGCAGCACAGGGCTGGTGGATGAGAAATAGGACTCATGGGAGACTGCTCTTCTGGAGCAACAGGAGACCCAAGAGCACCCAAAATACCCCAGACATCTACATTTAGGTGACTATTTGCAGCCCTGAAGCTTATGGGAAGAAGCAGAGTTGGGAAGACTGCAGGAAGTAGTACCACATGAAGCTCAGCCCACCCCTGGCTGCTGCTCTCCCTCACCCTGATCCTCTCCTGATACCAGTGCTGGGAAGAGACTGCTCTGTCACCAGCCCTGCTTACCCTAAACAAAGCTTCATTCCAGATTTCTAAGATTTGAATGGTATTTATGAACATACCTGGCACAAGGATATGAAAACACCCTGTCCTTAGGAGCCCTCTGTGCTGTGCAGACCCAGAGGTAAAAATGGTGCCTGTAATCCCAGAGCAAGGTAAAAGACAGAATTGCAAGGCCAGAGAAAATAATATCATGTATATGTGCTCTGCCTCCTCTCTTCAGGGCACCTCAGAAGCTCTGGCAGGAGCTGTGGGAGATGTGGGAAAGCCTTGAAAAAATTCAGATTCCTCCCAAGAAGCTGCTGCACCAAGATCTCTCTCCCCACTAGCTCATGCCCTATATTGATACCCCAATACCTGGTCCTGGGGAGGTGTTTCTGTGCCCACTGGGACTTCTCATATCAGGAAAGAATAAATCCCTTAAAAACCAGCAGAGGAAGTTGTCTGGACTATGCCACAGGGGAGAAGGGACCACAATTTAATCTGGAAGCTGAATGATTCCTTCAGCCATAACGAAAGCCTTTAAGGGCAGAGCTTTTATCTTCCGCATGTCTGCCTCATTGTAGCTCCACTAATCCCAACACCCGGCTCTTTCTTTGGATGATTACTCAAACACTCCCAATTAACTGCAGTTTTCTGCCACCAGGCCAGGCTTTGTGCCCCGGGCATTTTGGCTCATCCTGAGCCCAGGCCTTTACCCAAACCACCTCCTGCTGTCTCCACACCAGTGCCCAGATCCCTGCCAGATCCAGAGGGGCTCTGAGCCAGGAAGGAGCAACCAGCAGCCAAAACAGGAACAGGGGCTGAGCCTCCTGGTTGGGAGCTGGGACACCTCCTCTGGTTTGGTTCCGAGCTGCAGCAGCTCAGAGCCTCCTGTAATTCAGTCCCTGTGAATCAGCACAGAGATGCTGTGCACCACGTGCATCTGCATATCCTCCTGTCCAGGTGCCATCCTCAAAAATCAGGACAGGGATGACATGCACAGCTCCTTTGCTGGTTGGCAAAGAGGTAAATCCCTTCTGCTCCTCAGGGGGACAGGAAGCTGCTCCAGGCAGGCAATTACACAGTTGGATCCTGCCTGACCAGGCTTGGAGCAGCATCCTCACTCTGCAGGGAGCACAGAGTGGCCCGGCCATTGCAGAAAGAGAGAGGAAGCCCCCCAAATCCTCTGGAAAGCATTTCTTCCCAACCCTGGCAGCATGAGGGCTGGCAGACATGACCAGAGTGGTCTGAGCCACTCAAACTTTGTTTCTTCCCAAAATATCTTGTTTTTAACATCTCTGCCAGACTGCATTTACTGCCAGACAAGACCCTGAGCAGCCGACCAGTAGAGGGTGAGCCCAAGCCAGCTGGAAGTGAGGGTTTGGGGCAGAGCAGACTCAACCTTCCCTTGGGATTTGTGGAGCAGAGGGATCTCTCACCTGCTGTAGGCACACTAACATTATACTGAGGTAAGATGAACAGGAAGGCAGTCTTGGCTGTGACCTGTCAAAAGACACAGAGGGGAAAAGAAGCCAATCAGTCATTAAATCCATTCCTCTGCACCAGTTTTTTTCCTATCAAAATGGGAAAGGCAAATCACCCAGGGAGATGTGCTGGCACCAGCTTCATTTGCAGAAACGCTGAACCTCACACTGGTCACCCACAAGATCCCAGATGCATGTCCAAAAACGGAAAAGAAAGTCTGGGATTAGACATCAGGACATCCAAAACCCAGGGCTGTGTTGCTCACTCTTCATTTATTGAATCATAGAATAAAATAATGGAATATCCTGAGTTAGAAGGGGCCAAAAAGATCACTGAAATCCCACTCCTGTCCCAGCACAGGACACCCCAAGAACCCCATCCTTTGCCTGAATGTTGTCAAAACCCTTCTTGAACTCTGTCAGGCTTGGGGCTGTGACCATTCCCTGGGGAGCTCAGGGTGTCCAACCATCCTCTGGGGAAAGAACCTTTTACTAATATCCAACCTGAACCTTGCCTGATACAGCTCCAGCCATTCCCTCTGGTCTTGTCATTGATCACCAAAGAGGTGCCCATTGACTAAACTGCTTTTAATTCAAAGAATGATCCTCCCCAGCTGCAAAGCAGGAGGCTTTGTGGGGATGGGGCAGAGCATCCACCCCACAGGACACTCCAAAACTGCACCTCCAAGACCAAAGCACCCTCTAGCTGGGGCCACAGCAAAATCCAGACATCCAACACCAAAAATGCCTGCATCCCATCCAACCCCACACTGGCAGCAGGTCACCAAATTTCCCTTTTCCAGTGGCTCCCAGCCAACCCTCCAACGCTTCACAAGCACCCACCCTAAAACACAACCATTCCCAAAAAGTCCTGTGCCCACCAAACACCAATGGGGATGAGCTTCATTTCACACAGACACGGCTGCTACTGCTTCAGAGCTGCAGGCTATTAAAATCCCATCTGGAAATTGCTCCACAGTTTCTGGGGGAGACAAGGGGACTTTGCCAAGTATTCCCATCCTGCCACCACCAGCATTGAGCAACCGGTGCAGGCAGCCCCAGCCTGGGGACAGCAAACTCCATGGTGTGTTTTTGTGATATTCAGGGATTTCATTGTTTTTTCCACTTAAAAAAAAAAAAAAAAGGAATCCCACATGTTGTACTCTGTTTGTGAAGGAGTAGATGCAGGAGATGGAGACCATGGGCAGAGTTTAGGGTGGGAATGGAAAAAGTGCATTGCCTGGCCTCAAGCTGGCTGAGGGAGACACTTCTGGCTCCTACAGACCTTGCTGGCTGGGAAAGCCAAGTTGCTTCATCCCAGAGCTGTACAGCTCATCCAGGACCTGGAGTTTACATCCAAACCTTGCCACAGGCTGGCACAGGGCATGAAACAAAGGCATGGAGCCAGTGGTGGCTGTGGTGCTGCAGGGATGAGCAGCCGTGTCATGGACGTGCTAATGGCAGCAGGCACTGATGGATTTACAGCTCCCTGAGTACCTGGCTGACGTCCATGGCTGTAAACAGCTGGGAACAAGACATCATCTGCAGGTGAAGCCTCCTAACCTGCTAGAGAGGACACAGGCCAGAGCTGTGAGTCCAGGAAAATGACCCCAGAGTATGTCCAAGGTGGGAAGCAATGCCTGGACAGAACTCAGACTCATCACAGTTTCCAAGGATTCTCCCTATCTTCTTTTCCAGAACACCTGGTAAGAAGGTTCCTCCATCCACTCCAGCATCAAGCAATGCTTTGTCCCATCTCCACACCTGTCTTTGCTTCCTGTGGGCTGGAGAACCACCAGCGGCTTTGCAGCCACCCCAGCACCCCTCCACCTTTCCTTACAGAGGGGTAGCAGGTTGTTTCCTAAAGTCTCAGTGAAATATTTTAACAACCGAAGATAAATGTAACCTCCTAGATGCAGGCATCTGCAAGGCAAAAACCAGGTTTCCTTGGCTTGGGAAACAGGGACGAGCACCAGGGATGGGAAAACTCTTCAGAGCCTGCCTCGAGCATTTCACAGGCAGAAGGGAAAGCAGAAGTTTGGAGTGGGAAGAGCAATATGAGGATTATTCAGAGGCACAAGACTCGCTGTCGGTTGGCTCTGAAACAAGATGCTGGTATGGGAAAGGAAGTGTGCTGGGCACACTTCTGCCCTGCAGGGCAGAGATTACAGCCAGAGCTGCCACTAAACTGCTACTGGCAGGGGCAGAATTCATGGAATCATAGAATAATTTAGGTTGGAAAAGCCCTCGAAGATCATGGAATCCAACTGTTCCCTCAGCACTGCCAAGCCCACCACAAAACCAAAACAGGTGCCACATTTACACAATTTTTGAACAATTCCAGGGAGGGTGACTCCACAACTTCCAGCCTGTTCCAATCCCTGACTACCTTTTCAGCAAAGAAATTTTATCCAATCTAATCCCTGCCGGCACAACTTTTTAGAGGGTGGGAGAGGGATTTGTGCCTATGGGATACACAGAGCAGGGACCCTGTATATTTATTTCTCATCCATTCCCTGCCCTGCATTAAGGGCACCCCTATGCAGAGGGAGATGTTCCTCATCCCAGCCTCATCCTGCCTTACATGAGGGATGTGGCACTTGGGGACATGGGTTAGGGGTGGCCTTGGCAGTGCTGGGGGAATGGTTGGACTCGATGACCTTAGAGGGCTTCCCCTACATTAATGATTTTATGATTCTGTGTGCCTGAAGCAGATAAATTTGGGAAGTAGTTGTCCTGGGAGTTCTGTACAGCCATGAAGAAGGAACCATATCCTCAGCAGTGAGTGGCCTTCTGCTGGTTAAAGCCACTAACTCGAAGTGCAGATGGATGGTGAAGAGACAAAACTCAACGTGTCCACCAAGACCAGAGTTTCCTGAGATGTCTGGATCAGCCAGGACAGGGATGAGGCTGTTTCTCATGGCCAGAAATCAAATCAGCACATCCACCTTGCAGCAGAGCAATATATAAAGACAAGCAATCCCAGCACTCCCATATATTTACTGCCTACCACCAGGTATTTACTCCCTGACAATGTGGTGATTGGAAACATCCACACCTCCACTAGCCTGGAGCTTGCTCCCTAATATAGAGCAGCAAAGCTCTCCCCATCCTTTTTAGAGTCCCAGAATGGTTTGGGTTGCAAGGGACCTAAAAGATGATGTTCCAACCCCCTGCCATGGGAAAGGACACCTTTCAGGGTGCTGAGAGCCCCATCCAGCAATCTAGAAGATGCTGTTTTTACCCTGCCATGAAATGTTCCACATCAAAATCCCAATTCCACTTGATCACACGTGTAAGTGGCATTTAAAAGGGTGTCTAAGCCCACACATCCAGGCAGTTTAGCACCTCTCCCAGAAAGTACCCACTGCAACTCTCAAACACTAATACTGTCAGGAATGAGGGATGATTTTTGAGCATCCTTCCCCAGGACACTCAATAAACTCCTAGAACAGCCTGCCCAGATTGGTTGTGAACTCCCCATCCCTGGAAGTGTTCAAGGCCAGGCTGGACAGGCCTCTGAGCAATCTGGTCTGATGGAAGTTGTCCCTGCCCATGGCAGAGAGTTGGAATGAGATGAGTTTTAAGGTCCCTTCCAATTTGAACAATTCCAGGACTCTATGAAACACGTTTCCCTTCTCCAAAGCCTCATCCCTGTGGGATTTGTCTTCACCCCAACCAGGAGCCCCCAGGCATGCCACCATCCCCACGGTCCTGCTTGAGTTAAAGCCACTCTGGAGGAAGGAAGCAGCTCCAAACCTCTGGCGGGGGAGGCTGGGGGAGTCAGAGCCGGGAAAATATTTCCAGGGCTTGAAAAACAACTCAAACTAATTACGGACAAAAAGCTGTCCAAAGGCTTTTCTCACAACTTTGAGTTTCTTTTCCTCCCCCTAGCCAGAGTTTATTGAAAGACAAACTTGCTGATCCACAGTATGGATTGACACAGGCCCTATATGTAAACTAAAGCCCAAACTTTGGACCAAAGTCTTTCAAAGTAAACATCTGGCTTTGACAAAAAGCCCTTCCCAAGGCCAGTGCAGCCCCTCTGCCCCCACAGAAAAACTCATCCCCCAGCACGACACTATTTCCACTGCCTCACCCTCCCTCCTGTTTATTCCCTTTTTAAAAGTAAACCTAAATACTGGGTTTTTTAACCTTTTTTCCACTCTTCCCCAGCTATTCAACCCTTATGCCACCCGCATGCCTCGGTTCCCACATCTGGCAAAGACCAGGGGAGGCAGGAATACATTTTGTTTTCCCTCATTAACAGTGGGAAGGCCTTAATTTTTAGAGTACTACGGAGGGGACCGGGAAGGGGAAAGTATATTTAGCAGGAAGCCTGGAAATAGCAGCTCATTCGTCAGCTGCCTTCTTCTGACAGTGTCACAACCCAGAGTCTGGGAGCCCGTGACTCACATCCCACAATCTGCACAGGGGGAAAGCCCAGCAAGGACACGGAACCACTCCTAAAACAATGGTTTATAACTTTATTTCATCACCCCATGCATAAGACTGAGCCTCAGCTTCCCCACCTTAGAGATTACAACAGCAGCCCACATCTAATATAAAAACTTCTCCAAAGTCAACAAAGTTTTCCCCAAACTCGACCTGACACTGCTCACAGCAGCCACCCCTGGTGGGACACAGGTTAAACCCAGCCTGGCCTTGGCTTCATTTTTCTGCAAAGCAGGGTGGAAGAACATATGCAAACTAATTTCTGCATGAGGATGGGAAGCACCTGTTTCATGTTTCTATACAGAGTCACTCAAAATAGTTTTTCACCAAAAAAAAAAAGAGAGGTTTCTTTCTGGGCTGCAGCAGCCATGCACAAGTGGCAAAATCCCTCTCTGGCACCAGGCAGCTGCACAACCAGGTGTGTTTTTACACCCTGAAGGCTTAGGGTTGGCTGGGAAGGAAAAATCCTTTGTAGTGCCCAGCTCAGGACAGCTGTTTTTGGGGAAACTCCTTCCAAGCCTGGGGCTTCCCTCGGTGAGCAACGCCATGATCCTCAAAAACACACACAACACTGGAATAATCAAATCACCTGAAACACCAAGGAGCAGCCTCATGCCACCAAATCCCATCATGACTGGTACCTGCTCCCTGCCACGGAGGAATTACCAACTTGGTGAAACCACGTGGAAAGGCTGTGCACCCAAAAAGATGCTCAAGGTGTAGCTTATGCTGTGCTTGGGCAGTGGGAGATCCATGGCAGCCCCCCAGCATCACCCTGAGCAGGGTGCTGGTGCAAGGAAGCAATCAGCTCCTGAGGGATGCCTGGGAAAAGGTTAAAAACCTTATTTGTGTCTTCCCAAAAAAACCTTCCCTGCAGGAAACGGCCTATTGTGAGCAGAATTCGGCCTTTTCCGCTGGGCCTGAGCTTGGCTGTGGCCACTGGCATTGGGGAAGGTGGAAGCCCAGCTGCAGGGTGGGAAGCAGGGATGAGAGGAGAAGGACGGCAAGGGATGATGACAGGTCCTCCTCACCATGGCAAGGGATCAGACCTGCCACCAAAACTCACCACAGAGGTGGCACAAACAGGCATGGATGATTTGGAGGGCTGGGCAAGAGCACAGTCTGATTTCTCCTCCAGGGGAAAAGAAAGCAGAAGGAATAGATGTAACAATAAAACAAATTAAAACACTCATAAGGACCAAGAGCTGTCCCAAACCCTGTGCCAAGGAGAAGGCAGGGATGGTGCTGTTGGGCACAGGGAGCACTGGAAGCCACCCTGGCATGGCAAGCACTGTCTCCCTGAGGTCTGCTGGGACAAATTCAGCATCTGAGGGAGATTTAACTAAAAGACATTTAAAAAAAAACCCAGAAACACCACAAACCCCTACTTGCTGCCACCTCCATGGGGAGGTTCATCATTTTTCTAAACTGCCCTCAGAGCACCAAAAGCTCCACAACCAAAAGCACCACAGCAGCAAGCCCAGGTACCAGATCCCCAGAACGGGGCTCCCAATATGCAACAAAACCATCTGCAGGGAGAAACCCTAAGATAGAGATGCAGCCTCAGTGGTATTTTCGTTTTAAAGCACGAGTATGAAACTTGCAGCCCAACTCCGCAGCATTTGCATATGGCTTTGGAATACAGCTGGCCCTCCTGGGTTGGTTTTGAAACCCTTAAATATATATATATGTATGCATGCACAATGACACTGAAAGGGGTCCGAGTGCTGCAAGAGATTTGTTCATTCAATGAGTTCGCAGTAAAAAAGGAAGGGGTTAGAAAAGCAGGGGGTTCCAGCGGGGCGGAATTAAGGAAATGGATTTCCTCCTCCTACGATTTGCTACAGAAGGAGCCTTTCCTCCCTCGCCAGGCCCCCCGGCCACCCCTTTCCCATCCGGATTTGCTTTGAAACGTGGCACTGCCGAAGGGGAGGGTTCAGCGGAGCAGGCGGGGGGGGGGTCCCGGCCGGCGGTGCCGCTGACCACGGCCCGGAGCCTCGGCTTGGGATGCCCGGAGCCAAAGGAAGGGAAGGGGAAAGCAAAGCAGGCAGAGAGGGAAGGAGCCGGAGCAGCGAGAGAGAGCGGCATTCCCGGTGCTGGGACAGCGGGGGTCTGCGGGCACCCCGGCAGGGTGAGGGTATCCCGGGGATGCCTTCCCAAGGCACCGCGGGATGGCCGGGACTGGGAAAGGCCCCGGTGCTCGTCCCACGGCGCGGCTGCGGAGAAAACACCTGGAAAGGGGCTGCTGTGAAAGTAAAAAAGGCCAAAAACATGAAAAAAAAAAAAAATTAAAAAAAAAATCCTTCTATTTCCAAGAGCTGGGGATATCAGACAAGGCTTAGCTTATCGCTGTGTGGGGCTGATGTGCCCCTCAGTGCTTGGGACATCCCGGCAGCTGCGATGGGTTTTGAGCAGGGATTTTGGGGCAGGGGTTCTGACAGCCTCTGTGCTCCCCCTCCCCAGCCAAGGACCCCCGGCAGACCTGGAGCAGGACAGAAGGATATGCCAGCCCCAAAGCCAGCACCAGGCTGGGGTCCCGTGGGGATGTGGGGACCCTGTCGGGTGGTGGGTGAGCCATGGGGAATGAATGGGGCGGCACTCCGAGCCCCAGACCGAGGGGTCCCGCACCCCACAGCCCCCTCCCCGTGCGGGATGAGGGCACCTGGCCCGGCTGGGGACAGAACCGAGCTGAGGAGGGGGGACACCCCATGCAGATCAAGGGGGGTCACCTCATCCACGGGGTGGGGACACACGGACAGCCGGTCCCGGCGGGGGGCTCAGACGGGGGGAGGGGGGGGCTCACCTCGAACATGAGGGCGATGAGGACGCTGAGCACCAGGCAGAAGCCGATGTCGGCGTGGTTGTGGATGAGGAACTCTTGGCTGAAGAGCGGGTGGCTCTTGGCCCGCCGGCGGAAGGCCATGGCCGGGGCCGAGCCGAGCCCAAACTTGCCCGGGCCCCGCGGAACTTCGCGGAGCGCCGCGATGGCCCCGCGCAGGCGCCGCCGCCTGAGCCCTCCCCGCCTGAGCCCGCCCGGCTCCGCTCGGCCCCGGACCGACCCCGCCCCGACCCGACCCGGTACCGCCCCGACCGCCACCAGCACCGGCACTGGCACCGACTCCGCCCCGACCCGGCCGGCACCGGGACCAGCCCCGCTCCGACCCGACCTGACCCGACCCGACCGGCACCGGGACCAGCACTGCCCCGATTCGATCCGCCCCGGCACCGCACCTGGCACCGCCCCGACCCCACCCCGACCGGTACCGGCACCGCCCAGACCTGCACTGGGACCGGACCCGGCCCCGCCCGCACCAGGAACCGGCCACTGAGCCGGCCCTGCACCCAAACCGGGACCCAGCCCCCGACCCCATCCTGGAGCTGGACCGGACCTGCGTACAGGCACGGGCCTGGACCCAGCCCCAGTACTGGCACCGGACCTCACCCCAGCCCTGGACACGAACCCGGCACCGGCACAGCCCCAGCACCGGTCCAAGAGCCAGGACCTGGACCCGGCATGGGACAGAAAGCTCGGATATGGACCCAGACCGAGAGCTGACACCTGGCACCAGGTATGCACACGGACGCGGACCCTTCCCTGGACCAAGGCCGAGTCCCGGACCTGGATCTAGCCCCAATTCCAGCTCAGCACAGCCCTGGACCCAGCACCGAGCCAGGACCCAGGACCCAGCCCAGCACCAGACAGAGAACTCAACCCTGGTCACGGCTCCCACTTGCCCCATGCATACCCCAGCGCTCCACAGAGGGTGGAGGCAACCACTGGTTTTGGCAACCACCTCACATCTGTGCCCTGGTACTGTGCTCATCTGGACACCCACCCACACCTGAACCCCCCTGCTGTGTCCGTGGGGATGCCCACCTGCATCTGCACCCGCTGTGTGCACACAACCTCCCACCTCTGCACCCACATCTGCACTCACCTACCATGCACATCTGGGCTCCCATCCACCTCTGCACCCACCTGTGTCCCAGCACCACCCCGTGTGCACACCTTGACACCTTGCTCTGCATCCCAAAGTCCTCGTGCTGAACCCCAAATCTCCCTCATTAACCAGGGAAGAGCCTCAGGCATAAGATGCCTTCCCTGTCCCACCCTCTTCCCAAAACCACACCCCAGCTCCATCTGGGAGTTTAGCAGTGGGGACAGAAACAATCTGAACAGGTCTCCAGGGCAAAACAGTGGAACATTTGCTGTTATTTATTGAAGTCAATCCCTAAAAATCCCCCCAAAGCTCCTCAGGAAACTCCAAGGACATGAGGGGAGCAGGCAAGGCCCTTTGGTGGCGTTGCCTAGGAAAATCAAGGTATAAACAGTGTTTTGATTTGAAAGATATCCCTTCAAGCAAAACACGGATCCTTTTGCTTCCAGGGTCTTGTTCAGCTCCTCCAGCATCCCTGGATCCCCACGGATCCCTGACAGATCTGTCTTGTGTCCAGTGAGGATGGATTCACAGGAGGGAGAAAACACTGCTCCAGCACATTTGAGAGAACCGAGCCGTCTCAAACCTGGTGTTGAGAGCATAAAGCATTTTCCTCCAGACAAATCCAGCCAGGGAAGCACAGTCCCTGGGTCCTCATTAAGCACTCGGTCCTATTAGGCAAGTCCTGATTAGCTGGGCTTACCCTCTGCTCCCCCCCTCCGTGGTATTGTTTAGCCTTGGAGCCATGGGCACAGAGCTGCAGCCTGGGCCCTGCTTTTTACAGGAACACTGAAGGCACCAGAAAGGGATTTGCAGCAAATCAAATTTAATTAAAGGGGGAAAAAAATATCCAAAGTTTCAGCTTGGAAAAAACCAGACAAATAACAACAGCCTCAGGGCAAATAATTCTGTTTTCTGTAATGTCCAAGTATTGTGTTTCAATGTTGTTGGAAGTGAGAAGATGGTTTTTCCGGGGAAATCTTTCTTGGCTAGTCTGAGGGGAGGTTGGGAGGGTGTTACATTATTTTGGAGCTGGAGGGAATGTTTTTCACCCAGCCCAAAACCTGGCATCCATGGACAGTGCTCAGAAATTGGGCTGCTGCCCTGCCCTCAAGCCTTGTTGGTGCAACTCCATCCTGCTTTATTTTATTTCACCTTGAGAAAGGGACAAGAGTGACCCATTAAAAATAACAAGCCAAGGGGGTGGTGCCAGTGGTCAGGACAGCCACGTTCCCAAGCCCAGGCGCTCACCTGGGTATTGTTTAATTTCTTAGGGACGTAGCCTCTGTTCCTGCCTGTTTGCTCCTTTTTCCAGATCACCAGAGTGGCACAGCCAGTACTCCTGGGGAGCCCTTGGGTCACTCCCTGCATTGTCAAAATTAATGCTTGGTTCCTACTCCCAGGTTGCCCCTGACAGCTCCTCTCACCTGTGGCACCGAGCTCTCCTGGGCTGGGGCATGACCCTCCCCCTCTCTAAAGTGATGGAGAGAAACAAAATGGGAAAGAAAAGGTTCACAGGAGTCAAATGAGCAGAAATTCTCTATTCCAGAGCAGGCAAAAGCACTGGATAATCTGTCCAAGTGCAATGGGATGGAGATATCCCCTTGCTCCAGCCCTTCTGTGGGTGGCTGGAGCCCAAACGTTGATGATGAGAACCCCCAAAATCTGGGCAGACCCTGGTCTAGCTCAGGACCATTCCTCATCTGAAAAAAGCTTCATGGGAGATGCTGCAGAAGGAGCAGAGGGTCTGGTCGGGTCTCCTCAAGCATCTGGGACACTTAGAAGATAACATCAGCAGTTTGCCTGGAGCAGTTGGTCCATTGCCCCTCTGCCAACTGCAGTTTTCCATCCTGGGTTTGGACTGGCCCAGGCCTCCATGTTGCTCCACACAGAGCAGTGACCTGGGGTTTGTGGGATTTCTGCACCCCATGGGTTGATGTGAAGACAGACCAGAGTGTGGGGTGACCAGATCACCCACCGGGCCACAGCTCCAAGGATACAGCACCAAAATCAGGACCCAGCACCATGGTGGTGACAGCTGGAGCTGGTTCTGCCAACTCCAGGATCCCATCGTGCATCCAGTGTGATCTGGGGCATCTCCCCTCGCACATACACCTTTGGACATGAAGGCACCACGGGATATTTACAGGTCAATCACTCTTCTCTTGAAGAGGGCAAGACCCTGACAGAGATTTTCAGACATTCCCGATGGCCCAGTGATGCCTGGGAAGTAAAAAGAGATGCCTACAGCCATGGTCTCATTCCTCCAGACACTCGCTGTGCACTCCACCTCCAGTATCCCAGAGCTCTCCATTTCATCCCCACTGGCTCCCAGTGCAATGCCACAGCAGCATCAGTCCTGCACCTCCCTCTCCTCTCCAGTGACCATTCCTGGAGGGATTCAAAACTCGTGTGGATGTGGCACTTGGGGACATGGGTTAGTGGTGGCCTTGGCAGGGAATGGTTGGACTGGATGAGCTCAGAGCTTTTCCCACCTCAATGATTCCATAACACAGGCACTGGAGGTGCACACAGTATCTGGACCTTGAGCAGCATCTCCCTCTGGTGGCAAAGGAAGAAGAAGTTTTGGGGAGAAACTCCTCCCCAGCGTGATTTCCCCAGTCTGGCAGCATTGGGAAAAATCTGAAGGTGCACCAGGTCATTGGGGCATCTTCAGTTCTGCTCCCAGAAGACAGGAAGAGTGGAGAAGGATGTCTGAAGCTGTGATTTGCTGCTGGAGTCCTCCTACTTCGAATAGGGCTTTAGAATTCACTAAAGAATAGGTTCATATGGGATATAGGGAAGAAATCTTTCCCTGTGAGGGTGGTGAGGCCCTGGCACAGGGTGCCCAGAGAAGCTGTGGCTGCCCCTGGATCCCTGGAAGTGTCCAAGGCCAGGTTGGATGGGGCTTGGAGCAACCTGGAATGGTGGAAGCTGTCCCTGCCCATGGCAGAGGATTAAAATGAGATGATCTTTAAGGTCCCTTCCAACACAAACTATTCTGGGATTCTCTGATTAAATACAGATTATTTCTACTGAGACTTGTGCCTCAGTGCTGGGACTGTACCAGCATGCAGAATTTGGACCCCAGGTGAAACAGGGTTCTCACACAGGCTGGAAGCCTTTAGGGACAAACAATCCATATTATCCCACTTGATTTCATATTGCTCCCACGGAGAAGGTGAAGAGGAGCATGACTCACCAGTGACCAGCTCTCATCATCAGGGAGCAAAGCCATGGGAACACAGCCCTTACACAAACACCCTCATCTGAGGTCAGAGGTACCAGCTCACAGTGCACCTCTGCACTGTGGATGTGCTCTGAGAAATCAAAGTCCACATTTACACCTGACTTCTGAGCACTCAAATATTCTTTTCTTTATTGAAATTGTCTGTTTCTTTTCTGACTGGCTTGTGGGACAGTTTCATGATGGCTGAATCTTTTTCTAACACCCCTCCTTGACCTTCCTGACACATTTTCACGCCATTGCCTCAGATCCTGTTGCCCAGGTCCCTTCTTCACCCTCCCACTGGAAATCCCGACAGACAACTCATCCTGGGGCTGCAAGAGCCAAGAGTGGGAAGAAAGACCCCTTCACACTTATTTTCACCCCCAACATGAGACATAGACAGAGCAAAGGTTGGTTTGGGGTGTTTTCAAGCATAATTATGTATTACCAAAAGTAGAAAACCAAGCTAGATAAAAATTCCTGTAACAGCCTGGCAGAAATGCTGCCTTCTGTGTGATTCACAGTGAAAAAGTCTCTGAAAAAGCCACTGGAACTGCTCCTGCCTGCAGAGCACAGCTACAGCACAGGGGGCTGGGGTCCAGATGGACACAAGGAGCCTTCATCCCCTTGGAATGTGGCTTCACTTCATACTCAGCACCAAATGGGTTTTCTGTGCCCTGAGGAAACATCTGGCTGGGTCAGCCCTGAGCAGTGAATGCATCATGGAAGCTTTTTTTTAATAATTCATCACATGCCTGTGCTCTTCCTGCTGCCTTTCCTGCCCTGTGGCAGCACCAGAGTCCTGTCCACACCAGGACAACAGCTGGAGAGCACAGCCAGATGTGCTCCAGCTGGCACTCAGGAGCTTGGTGGTGAATCCAGCTGATCACACCTCAATTAACCTGTCAAGTCATGTCCTGAGCACAAACCTGTGCCCTGGGCACAAATCCATGCCCAGCCAGCCTGGTGGGAAGCACTGGCTATTTCTGAGACCATAGTATTAATGGTTTTAGTTCCTGACACAAATAAACCCTGCCTGCACTGGGGGTTTTATGGTAGCAGTAAAACTGGTTCAAGATTTGGCCTGAGGCTAAGTTTAGGTGGAAACACCTAGGCAAATGTGGATTATAACCTGGTCTAGTGGAAGGTGTCCCTGCATGTGGCAGAGGTTGGAACTGGATGAGTTTTAAGGTCCCTTCCAACCCAAGTAATTCTGGGGTCCTGTGATCTGCAGCTGGAAGGGGACAAGGAGGAGGTTGGAGAGAAAAGACCACTTGAGGAAGCAGGACTGTGGGCAAGCACCAGGACATGGTTTTTGTTTGTAATTCCAGGTTCTGAGGCTTTGGTCTTCAGCAGGAAGAGGATCTATAATCCTATGTCACCCCCAAAAATAGAGTTGGTAAAGGCCTCAAGATAAACCTGGTGGGGGGAAAAAAAAATCAAGCAATGCTGAGCCTTACTCGAGGCCTTACTCTGCCCAGGACATCTGAGAGTAAAAACCATCATTTTTTCTGATTTAGGCACTTATTTGTCCTGAGAAAACTGCTTTGACCAGCACTGCAGCCCCTGGAGACAGCAACCAGATCTCCACACTGGGACAGGCCAGCAGCTTGTGCAGGCACAGGTTAAAGGACACACTTCAAGTCACTGTCACAAATACACCAAAGGCAGAAAGCTCCAGCTGCCTGGCAGGTCTGTGACATAAATAAGCTCAATAAATAACCAGCCCTGGACTTTTAGGGCTTTTTAAGGCTTTTGAAGTTCTTCAAGACTGCCAGTAGAAGATGTACCGGGAGGGAAGGTGATGTCTCAGTGATGGAGGAGCACATCTGCCCCATGGCAGGGGCACAGTGGGGACAGTCTTCGTCCCACCACCTCCCTGTTGATGAGACAGTCACCCCAAGGTTGACCCAAGGTGACAGTGCAGCCATTTATAGGGTCACTCTGGTAACCCAGACAGGTCTGTCCCCTCTCCCAGCTCTCCCAGTCCTCGCTGGGGGCATTTAGAGCTGGCCTTGGGGGTGGAGGTGAAGCACGGTGACCTCAGCTTGCTCCTCACCACAGTCCCCTGCGGGCCACAATGGTGGGTGTCCCAAAGGTGATGGCACCCCACAAGGGCACCCTCTGTCCCTGTGGGCTCTGAGCCCTCTCTGGGGGGACCTGCCACCCCACAGCTGCCAGTGTTGCCAAAGGAAGAGCTTCTCTGCAGATACTTGTGGGCACAAGCACCCAGGATTGGGCTGATGCTGGCCATCCCAAGGGACAAATCCCCTCCTCTTCCTCCTCCTCCTTCTCCCAGGCAGCCTGGGGGAGGCTGAGCTTCGCTGTCCCTTTGCACCAGGGCCATGCTTGTGGCTGTCCCTGTCCCAGTCCCTGTCCCAGGTGAGGCGATGCCTCCTGCACTTGCACTGAAATACACAGAGGAGCTCTCAGTTGAATCCGGGGAGAAGCCATTGGGATGGGATGTGGATGGGGGAAAATCAGGCTCCTGCCCTACTCCATCCTCCTGTGCCATTCCCAGAGTGTCAGCACTGGGTTTGATGCCTTCTCCATTCCCCACTGCCAGTCCAGAGGGATGGATGTCCCTCATGGGGAGCGAAAAGTCTGCCCCAGGCTCAACACCAGGGGCTTTCCCCATCATCCATCCTCCAGGAAAAGCCTCTCCCAGGCCACCATCTCCAAAAGCTGCGTTGATCACGGACAGATCTCCCGTCTTCAAGGCCAGCTTCACCAGCAGCCAGTGGTGATGCTCTGTCCAGCTGTCCTCCAAACACCCTTTGGACTGCAGCAGTGATGAGCTGGTCTCATTCTTGGGCTCTGTCTTGGTCCCTTCCCCTGGCAAGGACTCTTCATCTTCCACAGTCCCAGCTTGGGAGCTCTCTCCAGACACCTCCTCATCCCCGGCTGCTGCAGCACTGCAGAGTGTCTCCAGGAATCCCTGCCAGATCTCTGTGGACTTGGGATGGAGCAGGCTGTAGTAAATCACCAGAGCTGTGGCACCTGGAAAGGAGCAGAAAAGTGTCACTGAGGAGTCCCAGCAGCATTTTGGTCAGCTGTGGAGAAGAGGCCAGACCTTACTGCACCTCCAGATCAACAAGTCCTTTGCAAAAAGACGCTGCTGAGCATCAGGTGCATGAGCAGCACATATTTCCATCATTTACAGGGATGCAAGAATGGTACTTGAGCAGCTTTTGGCAAAGGAAGTGCACATTCAACCCCAGATTTAACCTGGATTAATTTTCAGACTGACAGTTGCCCAGCAGGGAGATGTGTGATACAGAAAACCTTCCATGTCACAGCATCCCCATCCTCTGGCCTTTAAATGAGACATCAGCAGGTTTTTAAGACAGCTTCCTACTTATACCCTAAACTCATCCAAGACCACAGGAATTGCTCCATTTCTATCCCATTTCTTTAACACGGTTGATCTGAGGGTCTAGTGAGTTGCACAACTTCCCTCTGCCCCCATCCCACTGAGAAAATATCACCCTGCTTGGCACAAAGATGCTCCAAGGGCTGGATCCCTTCTGCTCTGGAGATAGGCTGAAAGCTGGGGGTGTTCACCTGGAGTGGAGAAGGCTCCAGAGAGAGCTCAGAGCCCCTTCCAGTGCATAAAGGGGCTCCAGGAGAGCTGGAGAGGGATTTGGGACAAGAGTCTGGATGCTCATTTCCTCAAACTACTCTCAAAATGTGCATTCCAGACGCTAAAATCAATGTTCTTACCTACTACAGACCCTGACATGACAGCCCCAGTCACAGTCAGGCTGCTCCTCAGCTCTGCCTGCAGGAACTGGGTGCCCAACAGCAGCAGGAGCGTGTTCTCCATCAGCATTATCTGCAAGGCAGGGGGAAGAGAGTCATCACTTATATCCTTCTGATGGTTTTAGATATGCCTCTCATAACAGAAAACTCCTATTTTCTAGATTTTCATAGATTTTTATAATCACAGAGTGGTTTGGGTCAGATGAGACCTTAGAGCTCATCTCATTCCACCCCCTGCCATGGGCAGAGACACCTTCCTCTATCCTGGGTTGCTCCAAGGCCCCACCAACCTGGCCTTGAACACTTTTCCTGTTCTATTTTGCACCTAATTTATCACTTAAAATATAGATGTTGTCAAACTGAACTTTCTGCAAGGTCTTCACCTATTTTTTACCACTGACATTATAAGGCTGCCTCTAAGGAATCAAAACCAGTGCAGAAATCACATCTGCCTTGGTGACCACGTGGCTTTGTCAGGATACAGTAAAACACTGGATTTTGAACAAGTGATGATGTGAGAAATGAAAAATGAAGAGTCTGAAGCTGTTGCTTGTCCCCAGCAGCTGCATCCAAGTGGAATACAAAACTTTCCAGGTACTCACTGCATAAAATACAGCCACCCTGCTCTTGGAGGGGCCAGGCTTGACATTGATGTAGCAGAAGATGTACACAGCTCCCAGCAGGCAGTTGAAGAGCCTCCAGCGGCATGGCTGAGCCACAATATCTGTCTGCTGGGCCCCCAGCCAGAAGGACATGAGCAGCCAGTGGACCCCTGCAGGGAAAAGGGACTGAATTTTGCAAAGCCATTCCTAGGGGAGGCTGCAAACAGTCCCAGCAGCAGGAGCATCACAGGGCTGACATTGGGGTGGGGTGTGGGGAACAGGATCTCATCTCTTACCTGCTACAGCAAAAACCCAGAAGGAATAGAGCCTGGCAAAGAGCACCAGGGCCAGGACCCGGGTCCCCAGCATCCCTGTCCTCCAGAGCAGCAGGCACAGGAGGACGGCAGCCGGTGGGCTCAGGTGTCCAGGCCTCAGCAGGCAGGTGAAGTGGCTGTAGGAGACCAAAGCCCAGGCCAGGGACAGCAGGGACAACCCTGCACTGACACCTGTATGGGGACAGGGGCAGTCAGGGCTCTGATGGAGGCCCAAAGGCACAAATTCTCTGTGTTAAGGTGTTGGTAGCACAGCACCCCCATACAAGCCAGACACCCCTTGATCCTGATAGGTGAATCAAAGAATCACAGAAGGGACCTTAAAGGCCATCCAGTTCAACCCCTTGCAATGAGCAGGGATACCTTCCACCAGACCAGGTTGCTCAGAGCCCTGTCCAACCTGACTGGAATGTGACCAGGGATGAAACTGGAATATTTGAATTAATCCTGCTAAACCTGGTCTCTGCATGTTTGGCATCTCCTGTAACCGTGGAAAGGGGTTTTAACCCTTTAAGTGCAGTGGAAATAAGATGCACAGCTACATGGTTATCTTTCATGATAGAAAGAAAAAGTTTATTCAGAAACACACTTGGTTTTATAGCATGACTCACAATTTTAAGCGTAGAGGAAAGGTGATTGGTTTAGAGAGAAGGCACCCCATTCCCAGGGCCTGGTCACATACTACAACAGATGTTCTATCTTGTTATTAATTCCTTTTTATTTTGACCAAATTATCACCCTGGGAGAAATTCTCCCTAGCCTTGAGCTGGACCAGCTTATCAGCTGGGAACAGAGCTGAAAAGCTTCAGCCGGGAATATTTTTCAGGCTGTAATTTTCTTACTTTCTCAATATGTGTCCTACAATCTCCCTGTGGTTACCCTCTGAGTGCTGTTTCCATGGACAGAGCTCTGCAGTCCCAGGGCAGCTCCATCCTGGTCACTGCCATCGGACCAGAGATGGACAATGATCGAGTGTGACCTGGCACATGCCGTGACTCCACACCACAACATCCCTCTTTGCACACCTGAAAGCTCACCTTTGGGGCAAAGCAGCCACCTTTGCATTCTTTCAGCAGATCTTTCAGCCACAGTTATTCCTGATGCTTCATATCGAAGCTTTCCAGTCCCTTTGCAGCACATTCCTCCACCCGCAGGACACACACACAGATCCCTCACCCAAGCTCATCACCTCTCTACAGCCTGAACCATCCTCCTGGGAACTCACCAGGGATGAAGCCTGCTGGCTCCACGGCCACCACGACATAAGCCTGGATCAGAAGGTGAGGCAGGGTCTGCAGCAGGGCTTCCAGGAGCCGCAGCACACAAACATCCCCGAGCTGAGCCAGCACCTCCCCGGCAGCGCCGCCCGCCTCCGCCCGCAGAACATCCCAGTACCTGCAAGAGTCACCGTGACGGGATGCCCGCCCTGGTTTGGGGAAATTTGGGGCTGCACCCGGGTTGTGGGGGTTGGGTGGATAGCGGGGAGTGTCTCTCACCGCTTCCAGAGCCCCAGCTGCAGGAGGTGGAGCGCCAGGAGCCAGCAGCCCGGCGTGTGTCCGTCTGCTCGGAACCAGAGGATGCTCAGGAGCTGGGCGGCGTAGCCGGGTACCAGGCAGGCGATGGTCAGCCCGAACCAGCCCAGCTGCCCACGGACAAAGTAATGGATGATGGCACAGAGCCCTGGAGAAGGTTACAGAGGAGATGCTGAGAGATGACACAGCCACACCCCACCAGCGACTGAGCGGTGACATTCTTAACCACAGAATCCCGGAATGGTTTGTGTGGGAAGCGACCTTAAAGCTCATCTCATTCCATGGGCAGGGACACCTTCCACTATCCCAGATTGTTCCAAGCCCCATCCAACCTAAACTTGAACATTTGCAAGGGATCCAGGGGCAGCCACAGCTTCTCTGGGCATCCTCTGCCGGGGCCTCGCCACCCCCACAGGGAAGAATTTCTTCCTAATATCCAATGTAAACCTGCTCTCTGTCAGTTTAAAGCCATTCCCGCCAGAACTCCATCTCCCAGCCCGCCCAGAGGGTTGGCAGCCCTAGTCCTGGGCTTATCTCCAGCTGCCGGTTCTCGTTGGCTTTGTCAGCTGAGGCACAGCCACCGCCACCGAGGGGCCGGGCCCCCAGGAAGGCTCAGATAAATAGCTCAGGCTCCAAAATTAACAAATAAATAAATAAGTGGGAGGGAGAGATAAATATCAATTTTTCAAATATGAAAAAAAATCCAAGAGGACGGCTAAACCCGCCGGGATGCGGGGAGCAGAACCGCAAGAACGCAGAACCGCATCTCCGCAAACGCGGGGCGCACGGATGAACCCCTCTCCTCCTCCCCGGTACATGAAGGTGATTCGGGACCCCCGGAACGGCCCCAAAGGCGTCACTGCCAGCATCCCATCCGCCTTCCCCTTGCCCTCGGCCGGAGCGCAGCCCCCCAGGCCCCCGCGCATCCTGCGCGCATCCTGCGCGTTCACTCACGGGCGCCGCTCTCCGCCGCCAGCAGCGTCAGGCTGAGCCTGGGGACGGCCCCGCGCATCCTGGGAGCACGAAGGGAGGAGGAGGAGGAGGGAGGAAAGGGAGGAGAGGGAGGAGAAGAAGGAGGAGGAGGAGGAGGAGGAGGAGGAGGAGGAAGAAGGAGCCGCCGGGGCCGGTTCGCTCCGCCCGCCCCTCCCCGGCTTCACCGCGCACCTCCCCCAGTGTCCCCTCCCCGGGCAGTGTGACATCACGGTGCTTGCGTCACCCCCGGGGGCTTGGGGACACAGGGACCGACCGGGGCTTCACCAGCCCGAGACCCCTGGAGCTGCTGTGCGCTGCCACAAGCCCATCCCGTATCCCCCAAATTGTTGCGCACCGGCACAAGCGCACCCCGATGTCCCCCGGGTTCTTGTGCAGAGGCGCAAGCCCATCCTCATGTCCCTAAAATTGTTGTGCACTGGGCACAAGCCCATCCTGATATCCCCTGGATTCTTCAGAACCGGCACACGTCCACCTCGATGTCCCCCAAATTGTTGTGCACTGGCACAAGCCCACCCTGATGTCCCTACAATTGTTGTGCACTGGGACACGCCAACCCAGATGCCCCCCAAATTATTGTGAACTAGGACACGCCCACCCCGGTGCGATGTCACACCCCGAGTGATGCCCGCGATGTCCCCGTGTCGCGGGGATGAGCACTAGGTGGCAGCTGGGACATGGTGTGCACAGAACCATAAATCAATCCCGTTGTTTTCCCGCCCTACCACGGCGATGAAACCGCTGTGAAATGGGATCCCAAGCATCGGAGGTTGCAGGGGCCTTCTTGTGTGCATTTGCTTTTTATCCCAATTTTCAGCCCTGCAGCCTCCAGCCCTGATGCTTTTTAGAAAATGAATTCCCAGCAGGTTACTACAATAAAAACCATGAAGGGAGGTTTAATTAAGTCAAAATATCACCTCTGGTTTTGGTGGTTTTTGCAATATGCTGCAGAAAGCTCCCAAAATTTTATACATCAGCTGGGCTGTTGGATGTACCTGTGTCCTGGGACTTTCATACATTTATTGTTGCTTTTTTAAATTGTATTGAGTTTTTTTTTGCAACTCTGGCAATAAAACCCAGGCTCTGCTGTGTAACAGGAGCCACCAAACTGCTCAGAAATGTCCTTGCCTGGTTTTCCCTACTCATGGGAGCATCCCCAGGCTCTCTGTAGTTCTCCAGCACTGCTTTGCACCAGGAACTTGGCATCTTTGCAGCCTCAACTCCATCTGACTGGGTTTGTGGGCCCTTTGGGTGTAAAAGACAACTCACTTTTCCTCCTGTCCCACTGCCCTGCCTGTACTCGTGTTTCATTAATTAATGATGTTGGGCTGCTGGGCCCAGATCCAGCAAAGCATTTGAATAAAGTCAGAGGTGTAATTAGGGCTCTGGAGCCAAATGAAGCTCAGCCTTGGCTTCTCTGTCCTCCACAGCAGTAAATACCACGTGGTCCATTCCTAGAAAACCCAATTTTTAGCGTACAAAGCACAGCTCAGACTCTAATGGGCATCAAAGCCTCTTCCAGACGTGAGAGTGGGATGTGGAAGAACCATTTTGGCAAATTCAGCAGTGCAGATGCTGCCAGGGTCCATGCAGGCACAATGTCACCCTTCTTGTCACCCACAAGAGACATGTGAACCTCATCATCTCATCCCCCCTGTCCCCCATCATCATCACTCCCACCCTGAGGTGTCTCAGCTGTCTTTTTCCTCAGTCCCTCCTCCTGTGTGCCAAGCCAGGAATAAATCCTGTGCCATCATCACCCCGGAACTTTGCCAGGCAGAGAAGGAGAAAGCCAGAAGCCCTTCCAGAAGATATTCCCAGAGCTAGCCACCCTCCCCAGCTTCTCTGCCAGCTCCCAGTTGCTCTGGCTGCCTCCCAGCCACCGGTTTGGCTGCACTTTTCTCTGCTGGATTTCAACACCCAGGAGCTTCTTTTGCTAAAAAAATTCCTCATGTCTCCAAGAAAACTTGGGACGAGAGACCTCACAGCCTCTTCCAGAGCCTAAAGGGGCTTCAGGAGAGCTGGAGAGGGACTTGGGACAAGGGATGGAGGGACAGGACACAGGGAATGGCTTCCCATTGCCAGAGGGCAGGGATGGATGGGATATTGAGAAGGAATTGTTCCCTGGGAGGGTGGGGAGGCCCTGGCACAGGGTGCCCAGAGAAGCTGTGGCTGCCCCTGGATCCCTGGAAGTGTCCAAGGCCAGGCTGGATGGGGCTTGGAAAAACCTGACCTGGTGGAATCTGTCCCTGCCCATGGCTCCAGCCCTTGGAGCATCTCCATGGCCTCCTCTGGACTCGCTCCAGCAGCTCCAAGTCTTTCCTGTGTTGGGGACCCTCAGATCTGGATTCGGTTCTCCAGGTGAGCTGCCCACAGGTGACATCGCACAGACCCAGCTGTTCCTCACGTGCTGAGCCGCTTTTCAGCCCAGATGTTTGGCCGCACATCTGTCTGCAAACACCTCAGGGAGGGGTTTCAGCTACAGCCCTGCCCTAAAGGACTCAGGGACCAGGGCACATCTTCTGCAGGTGCCTCCCTTGCCTGAAGGGATGCAGCAGAGCAGATCTGACAGGTGATCGTGGACGACGCCAGGAGATGCAGACATCAGGTTTTTTTTCCTCTGTAAAATGTACATTTTTCTTGTGGTCCTGGAATCCACAAGAACATTTTGCCTCCCTGGATTAAGTGCAAAGGACCTAATTCCAAAGCTTTTTGTGGGAGCTGCTCTGTAAAAGTGACCACAGCACAATTATGTGTAACCACGTTGTGGGACCAAGTACTTTCAACATGCGAGTATTTAATCTCAAAAAAAAGCCAAAATGTGGAAAGAAAAGCACCCAGAGGAGCAGCCCAGAGAAACAAGAAGCCTGCAGGGCAGCCTGAAAGCTGCTGAAAAGGCTGTGCTGGAAACCTCAGTGAAATAGTTGCTTTGATTGGGAAAGAAAACAAAGAGATCTAAGAAAAATCCCTGCAGGGCATGAAGGGCGAGCCCAGGGAGGCTCTGGCAGGGATGAGCTCAGCCGTGCTCCAGCAGCTGCCAGAGGAGAAGGCAACTCCCATGGAATGGGGCTGGATTCCAGCAGGAAAGAGGGATAAAAGAGAAGTGAAAGTCCCTTTGCAACAGGCACCCGGATTTATAGAAATGTCTGTAAATGCATAAAAAGCAGGGAGCCATTGGAGGAATCCTTGGTGAGAAGGGAGGATTCTGTGCTCAGAGGACTCTTCTGTCCATGGCAAGAGAGTAAAGAGAATTATAAAACTAAAATTGCTGGGCACGGGCTGTAATAATTTTCATAAACGGATATGGCATAAAATATCTTACGTGCCATGCAGGTAACCTAGTAATGAAAATGTTTTGATGCAAAAATTTGAAAAAAAAAACAAACAAACCACTTTTCCCTTTTTTATTCTTAATTCTTAGATTTCCATTTTCCTCTCTCACTTTTATCCCTACTGTTCCATAGTGCAGATCTTTTCCATGTTCTTAATTGTCCAGATTTTCCTTTCCAACAGCAGTAATGATGTAGAATTAATGACAGTTAATTTAAGTTAACCCTCTTCCTGATGTTCCAAAGAAGAACTAACTTCCCATTTAACATGGGTTTGCTGGGTTTTATTTTAATATAATTCCAGTTGATGATTATTTTACTTCTGTGATGATATATTGTTCATGTTTGTAAGGAAATATAAAACCTCTGAAAGCAAATGGAAGCAGAGACCTTGAGAGAGATGCTGTGGCCAAAAGGTTGCTCAAAGGGAGGAGCCCAGGGTGGTTTTTTTCATCTCAACACATTTCCCGAGGCGATGCTGCAATGGTTTGAAAGCCAGACCTTGGTTCCTCTTAGGACAGCAGCAAAGAGGATCCATTGGGTGTCCCCAGAGCTCCCCAAAGCCTCATTGGCCACCAGAATGCTGTGGAGGTCCAACATCCCTCACCACCCTGCAGAAAGAGCACAAACCCACTGAAACTCTGCTCCTTCATCTTCATCCGGGGGCCCGACACTGATCTCAGGACTGTTCCAGCCTAGAGCTCCTCCTACCTGGTAACAACAAAAATATTCTCATTATTCAGCCTCTCTCAATAGGTTTTGTCCTTCTTAAACAGCCTGGAGACTTCATATCTTTCACGTTTATCTGCATTTTGTTTTGAAGCCTTAACTGTGCAGTGACTCCAGTCTGTCACGAGCCAGTTCTAGAGGTGACAAATGTTGGTAATGGAGAGGAGTTTTTGTTGGCTGCAGGAAATGCAAATACTCAAAAATTTATCCTGTAAATAATGTAATTCTTGAGGGGAAGAATAACAACAGCCTCTAAGCAAGAATAAGGAGAAGCTCGTTTTTTAATTGTGAAGAAAATTGCTTTCTCTGCTCTTTTTTTTAGTAGAAAAGCTTGAGAAAACACATGGGGTTTTTTTTTGTATAAATCTAGCAAAAATTGTCTTATTTTCTGAATTAACAGCTTTAAATTCCATCAGGCAAATCAAATTTATTGCAATGCATTGCAAGTTATCAAGAAATCCAGGATAAATTGCTGGTCATTTGATGCATTAATTAAAAAGGGATTTAAAATTGAGGTTTTTTGCATGGAAGTTTTTTTCCTATGCCATGATCCTATGTGTACTCCAGGAAAATCTTAGGACAATAGACAAGATCATGACAAATATGTGTAATAACCTCTTTTAGGTAAGTTTCAGGTCTTGAAGAACATTTCTCTGTGTCACTTCTGGGACTATGGAGGGACAAGGCTCTAACTGATGTCCTGGTCTACTTTCTCTGCAGTGATTCAAGATTCCTCTGCCATGAAAATCCTTCCTTTTCTCCTTGTTCTCCTCTTGGTGGCATTTCATGGAGCTGCAGGTAAGGAGAGGGACTGGAGAGAAGATGTTGGTGTCTTGCAAAGATCTCCTGCCCCCTTTGGGATGTGACCAAACTGCTTCCTGCAAAGAATCCTCACATAAATCATCAAAACTCATTGGAGATTACAGACGAGAAATGAAATTAGCAGGCACATACTCCAAACATC